TTCCACTCTACATTTGTAAATATTTTATTGAATTCTTTGTCACAATGTTTTTAATCTTTAATATGATGAAGAACATACCCAAATGATTACAAAAAGTGATTAAAATATATACCTTTCCCCTCTAACTAATGAGAGATGGGCTATTTACCGATTCTACTATTCTTGACCTTTATGCACTTACACGGGATTTATATTAAATGACTGTTTGGGGTTTCTTTCAGATTAAAAATGATTATCAAAAATTGTACTTTTAATTTAAAAAGATCACATTTAATAGAAAAATTGTAATAAAACACTACGAATATGAATAAGTACCCTGGTAACAAATAACTATGAAAAGGAATGCAGATCATTTCATTATAGATATCACAAAAATGTTCACACAATCTACAACACGTACATATTTGACTTAGACACATTTCATCAAGATATTACACTATTTAGTAGGCAACTGAAGATTTCTTAGGATTTTTGCATTCCTTCAAAATGGTTACATAACATTCAAATTATTACAGTAAGTTGTAAACATTGTAATTTCATTACACAAGATAGTCTTGGATTTGTCAACTTAATTAATGTCAAGATCTAGTAAGTGAAAGGTGCCTGCAGGTTTCTCTAAATTTTCAGAAATATATTGTCATTAAGCATTATAAACCAAAAAATATATGAATTGAATTAAGATTATTTCGGCATGAGTTTAAATTGAATTCTGTGAATTTAAAATGCAGTATTTTCTACCATTTCTATTGAAGCTGTAAAGTACGGGAAAAGGTGACACTGAATTGATTATGACGTCATAATGGATCTAGCACAGGCTAAACACTTTCACTAGTTTAGGGAATAACTATCTTCTAATTTGGTATTTGCGACCGTTAATGCTGATTTAACGGTCGCAAACTGAGTTTTACCGGCGACGCGTAAGCGGAGCCGGTAAAACGGATGCATAGGCGGATCCAGGAATTTGTAAAAGGGGGGGTCCAACATTTTGACCTATTAGGTACTGTTTGCAATCATGGTAAGTAAGAGTCTATATGATAAAATTAATAACTTTTTTCCCCAAAACTAGCAAAATAAAGTCCCCTAACGGTAATATAATTCAGTCAAAAGTATGTCAAACGTAGTGAATATACTTGTTCTGTGAGTATTCAAGGCACAGTGCAAAGAAAAATCCGGAAAATCGCAATCGGAAGGACAGACAGGTGGATAGATGGACCGAGAGTAAACTAGCACCCCTCCCTCTTCTCAGCAAAGCGAGAAAGGGAGACTAATAATACAAAACAATTGTTTGATATTAACCCAATATCACACTGTTCTGATCAGACCTAGAGTCCCAAATATCTATTGCGAATTGCTCTATCAACTTTAGACATTTACTATTCTGGTCAATTATACTGGAGTGACAGATCTAACAGAAATATCGTAATACTATATTTATCATAAGAAATGAACGGTATGAACTTTGATGCACCAGATGCGCATTTCGACAAATAATGTCTCTTCAGTGATGCTCAGACCAAAACTATTGGAAATCTACAAAAATAAAGAGCTACGAGCATGGATCGAAAGTGCCGAACATGAGCCAAAATCCGAACAAGGACCAGAGCTATGCCTGAGGGAGATACGTCCTTTATTTCTAAAATTTATCAAATTAAAATTTATATATCCGTTTCATGCTAGCACTGGAGTACTAGACGAAACTGGGCTTATGAACACCCTCGGGGACAAAAAGTCCACCAGCAGAGGCATATTACTAACATTAATTTTCAGTTATAATTCTCTCATTGCTACAAGGATATACAATTTTGATAATACATTGTTTTATTTCGTAGGCACACATAACCACAAAAATGGGGGAAGGGGTATCTGCACATGAAGGCCTTTCTAGAATTTATTTTACTTTAAAAATATACATGTACATTGCATCGGGGAGGGTAGGGACCCCCCCCCCCCCCAACCTGTTTTTTTTCCTACAAATTGTAAAAAAAAAAAAAAAGGAAAATTGGACTCCCCCTTATAAAAGGAATATTAATACCTGACTCTCTCTGAAGATAAAACTCAATGGTAGACCCCTCCCCTACATCGTGCCGTTCACAAACTTGAGAGTTTAAGCATAGTTTGGGGTATTTGTATCAAAATTAATGAAATTGATAATCACGTACATAACCACCCCCACGTGTAGTTTTGAAACGTGACGTTTATGTGATAAATATAGTAGGCTATAATAGGCCCCTATGTGTTTTATAAAAAATATGCAAAAAAACTGAAATAGCTGCAGTGCTTGTTCTACTGCCTAACCCTCTCATGAACTGAATATTTGATAAACAAAGTTTGTTCAGATCACAGGGCTTTTTATAGATTTTGTACTCAATCTGTATATTATATATCTATTCATGGCTTGAGAATTAAAAAGAACCCCCCCCCCCCCCCGTTTTGTGTTTGAACTCAGAGCATAAAGTTTGTACTATATAGCTGCGTTCGCTACAACGGTCACACCGTCAATATATTACTGTTTATGTTAGCCAATGTTCATGATACATTGTAACAACCAGCCTTCCACATGTATTTGTGTTACACGTGAAACGACCTTTTTCAAAATCGTCGTGTATGACTCAGCCTAAGAATCAAACATTTGGCTAGTAGCCTAGTTCAATATAAACAACTCTTAATAAAAAAGTAAAAGCTTTCCATAATATTTATGAATTATGGACAGTTTAATCTTCATGCCTTACTGGAAGCAGCTTCAGAGTTATTCTAAACAAAAGTGTATACGTACAGCGCTGATGTTTCCGGTAAAATCTCGTCAACTTTCTATTTCTTTCCTTTTTTTTCTTGATTTATATTTCTAATTTTTTTTTGCGGGGGGGGGGGGTGTATACATTTTTTTTGGTCCGCGAAAAAGGGGGGGTCCGGACCCCCTGGACCCCCCCTCTGGATCCGCCCTTGGGATGTTTGCTACCGTTAAATCAGCATTAACGGTCGCAAATACCAAATTAGAAGATCAGTTATTCCCATTCTAATGCAATCCATGCATTTTGCTTGTTGTTTACATCTTATTTTGTTGAGTTTCGTGATATAAAATACGTCACGGAGCATTGTGTTTTTGCGTCGCTCTATTATGACGTCACAATGAAAAGCTTTCTGCCTCGCTAATGCTCGTTTTACTGCTTCAAACCAATCTCTCACCAGAGGGCGTTTTTACGCTCCGCTCCAACACCTCTGTTATCGTCTAAATTACAAGAATCTTGTAAAACGAAAATAAATCATAGATTCCCACAAAGTTGGTAATTATTACAAATGAAATTAGAAATATCAATCTGTAGCACTTCTTTTGTTCTTTCAAAATTTGGATATATATTAAAATAGTTTCAATATATACGGCACTATATTGTTGAGAATTTTTACACACATTTTCATTTTGAAACCAAGGAGACAGAGTTAGAAAATATTTACTACCAGAGAGCTTAAAACACGTAAAATTATTGACAAAACATACAAAACAATCAATGTTTATACAAGTTTTGTTGACATATACTAATTTGAAAATCGGAACTACTTTTTAGACGACAACAGAGGTGTAAGCGGAGCGCGCCCTCTGGTGAGAGATTGTGCTTCAAACATCAGTGCATTAGCCAATCAAAACGTGTTTTACAAAACAATTGCATTAGAATATGATGTCATACGACGTAGGTTCTACGTTAATTGTAAAAAATGGTACCAGTTTAACTGTACATTCATCCCTAAGCAGACTTACAATCCCAATTCAAGATATTCTTACAGTAGTGAGAGTACGGACTGGGTCTAATTCTGTATTATTTCCTTGTGTAAATGAAAAAAAAAGATTTCCGAGAAAGAGGAAATATATGGTCTAAAAGGGAAAATTAAAGCAATTTGGGGAAGGAGTTTATTTGAAGTATCTGTATGAAAATAAAAACTGAAATTTATAGAGTAATCGAGCTCATGTCTACGTAATTATTTTGCATCTTGCATCTACGATGTCAGATCCCAGCGTTAGTAGATAGATTTACCCATATTAAAATTATATTTTCTTACAAGATTGGTAACTTTCATGTCAACATAATTTACTTACATGTTGACATAAATATGTGGCATGTTTATATAATCATGTTGCATGCTAACATAACTTATCTTGCATATAGGGAACAGAAATATGACACCAAACAAAACTAATTGCATAAATGCTCCAATAGTCATTATACAACACGGAAACATATCTTATTCGATGGAATAATCAAGGCATACTTTATTTATAGATCACCGCCATTTTGATTTTTAATCGCACAGAATATAATTTCTTTTAGCTTTTAACTTGAATGGATAAAACCGGAATTTGTAAGGAGTAAGTCTATTCAAAAGAGCATGCTTTCATATTTTTAGCGAATATTATGTTGTAACAACATTATTTTTCTTGATCTAGATCAAAAGATGGTATTGAATGCTGCGTGAATCATTATCTTAAAGGAAACTCTTGTGAAGGTGAGTTTAAAAATACAAAAAATTACAGTTTTTTCATTCTTTCATCATCATTTAAGTCATTATTTAAACTATTATAATTATCCTTTATCCTTTTCCACAGAATGTTCAGTCGGTTGGTTTGGCTGGAATTGTGTGAATTCTTGCCCTTCAGGAAGTTATGGTTGGCTGTGCTCAAATCGCTGTGAATGTCCGGATCAGCTTTGCAATTTTGTCTCGGGTTGTCCAACCGATAACAAGGTCACTCTGACGTTAGATTCAAACTCCTCGACATCTACAAGTGCAAGGAATAACACTAAAGATGTCTTAGAGACGTCTAGCAAAGGCTCTTCTGGTGAATTTAAATTTACCCTTTTTCAGTACAAAAATCCAAATTATTTGATCTGGAGTTTATAATATTTTTCTTGATATTCATTTTTTCTAAATAAAAGGATATTGCATGAATATCCTCATCTCTTTTACAAATTTCAGTCATTATTATTTTCTGTTAAATTTATCTTAAGCTTTAAAATGCAAGAATGTGACCCCAATATTTTTATTATGATTCGTAAACACTATTAATAATTTTTATGTTCAGATTGGTGATTTATATGTCTACAAAATTAAAGTGGTGCATGCATATCGTTAAAAGTATTTCATAAACGATTTTATTTAGAGCCAGCAGTATTTCGATCGTCTAAGAAACCAGACTTGTCATCGTTATCATCATCATTATCAACATCATCGTCCACATTGAAGATAACCTATACACCGTCCACCGTCTTAAAATCAACTGTTACAACGAGAAAGATAACTAACTCTGATAACGGGACTGTAGATATCGCCATAATACTAGTCCCTATCGGAATCCTTATTGTATTGCTACTAATCGTCATTATCCTAATGATCGCTTGGAAACTAAATCTGGTACAGCGTCACAATCAGGTTTTGACGTCAGAAGTGATAACATTGAAGAAAGTAAATCCGTCAAGTGAAGAGACTGCAGACTATCAAGAAATTAACTTTGGAACGAGACGAGAAATATCACCTGAACAATTTAGTGTGAAAGGGAATCATCAACATTATCATACAATATCAGAGCAACATCTTTCTCAGTCATCTCCCTCTAAATATCAAGAAATTAATAAAATCGAAGAAGAGAAAATGTCAGAACATTCTTCGACTGAAAATGATCAAAATGCCTCTTCTGCGTATCTTATACCTACATCTACAAAACCTGCGCATGCGTATATTGATGTTATAGAAACCTCACAGGAGGATATTGAGGCGAAGTCCCAAGCGTCTTTACTCACAGAGGAATATGATGACACTCTGTTCCATACCGACAGTGAATTCAAATCGTCTGAAAATATGTATCTTGATGCTATATGAGCTGCTATGACTTTAAAAATGCAAATAAAAATATTCAATGTTTTGGTGTACGTTATTGTTGGGATAGTTCAGTATTGAAATGTATTTGATATGTGGATATTTCTTTTAAAGTTCCTGACCATAAACTGAAAGCAGACAATTCAAAATTTAGTTTAAGAGTAACTTGAGATCTATTTAATACACTTAGTTGCATAAAAATTTGCACGATTTTTAAATAAACAAATTTAAACACGCATTGAAAATTTTGCTGCATTATCATTTTTTTAAAAAACTTAAATGATTTGAAATTTTGACAAAAGTGTTTTTTCGATTTAAGGTTTTAGAATCGGTACTCGATGTAGCCAGCATTTGAAAAATCAATTTCAAGTGGACACAAGGTTTAAGTTAGACAGTAATATATAGATAGTCATCATCTTTTATCAAGAGTAATTGAAAAAAGTTTTAAATATATACTTGTTGTTAAAAAGCATATTATCTTTTCAGGATGTAATATTGCAGGACTTTTACATCACTTTTATAAAAATTTTCAATATTTCAAGCACATTCACTTAGTTTTTCCGGCATAAAGAAATGATACTTTCCTAAACAATTTTATTTTTTGCATCTTTCTGAAAATGGTACAGTATAAACAAGGCACTACATTAATCTCAAATTAAATAATTAATACTTTTCGACTTAATAACAGCGTTACTAATTAGGCATTTCCTGTCAAAATCAAGGAATTTTTAAACTATAAGTAATATTTTTTGTTTGTAAAACAAAACTCCATAATTAGACAGAATTATGCGCATGTAATTTGTTTATTGTTTGAAACCTTCAATGGAGACTGGAAGATGTAACAGGTACATGTTTTTGCTTTTTATAGTTATGATAAGTAAAGATAACTGTTAAAGTGTTTTAGTTGACAGAAACTGGTTGCTTTAAAGCAATTACATATTATTTTTATATTTTAAAAAAACTCTAAATGGACAAAGTTTATATGTTAAACAACAATAACAATATCAAAATTTTATGTTTTATTATTAAAAAAAAAACCACCAGAACAATTTGAATTATAGCTAATATAGGGCTATTAATCTGGGGGAAATCCTATTTTTCATTTTTGAGTTACTCTTTAAATTAAGTTTAAGTATGTTTATAACAACATTGTGAAAATAATGTGTTACAGCAAATATTCAAATAATTTTTTTCATTTCTCTATTAATTTTTATAACGCCAAAGTCCATGTTTTTGCGCTTGGAAATCTGAAATAAGTGTCAGATCAAAAAATAAGATAAGAGGCTCACAATAGCGTTATGTAATAAGAAAACTGTAAAAGTATCAGCAAATTTTATTCTGTGATATAGGAGGAGTTGTAGATAAAAGACGGGTATCCTTTAATATTATAGAAAGAATTACGGTATCCATGTTTGCTATGGGAAATTAAAAATGTGTGTTGGACCAAAAAGTCAAAAAGGCTGTCACGATGGCACTATGTAACGAAGATTCTGTTAATGTTTCATTAAATTTCATTCAGTGGTATACGAGAAATCAAAGTTGCCGATAAATATGGGTACCCCAAACAGAAGGACTTATTTACAGATTGAAGGACGGCCATCCTAATTACTGTATACCCTCCCACTTTTCAAGCTGGAATATGAAAATAATGTGGAGATATCGTGAACAGTAATCAGTCTAAAAATATCTGAGGTGGAAACAGGGTCCATGGAGGAATTAGCATCCACCATGGACGGTTACACCCTACGTGTGCTCCTTATAATGATCAGAAAACAGAAAAATCCGTAGGCATTTCAAAATTTAACTAGAGATATTGTGAGCACTGAGCTCAATAAATGATACCCCCAACTCCTATATGATTACAATGACAAAGTCCATGTTTTCCTCTTGGAGAACCGAAATATGCGTCAGATAAAAAAAAATAGGGTATTGCGCAATTGCATTTTTTTTAAATACTTTAATTTATTTTTTTATTTAAGCCCTCTAGACATCATTGTTGTATGCTGCACAAACTTTTACCAGACGAACAATGCTTGTAGACGTAAGTAAGCTAAGGAATAAGAGTCTATTGTTCGAAATACAGTGTACATTTGAAGAGGTTTATAAGAGATACACGTATTACGAGCTCATGGCAATAATCATTTTCATATGCAAAAAAATGAACGCGTTATCTACAAAAAATTGAAACATTAAGTAGAATGATCTCTTTCAAATCGATTAATAAAAATTTTCGTTCTTTAATCCTACTAAGTCTGCTTTTGAAAATACGTGTGTAATATCTTTTAATTAAAAAACATTTTATTTCTGAATATGGATATCTTAAGGATTTTGATACTGTCAGGCTTTGACCGAACAATCTTGACGCAGACAACAAGCAGTTTATCCTTAAGCTAAGTGTACCTTCTATTTCCTTATTCTTTAACAGCATGTCCTCCAGGTTCATATGGAAGAAACTGTTCGCTCACTTGTCCACAAGGCTGGTTTGGGAGTGAATGTAAATACTCGTGTGATTGCCAGCTTTCTGATTGTTACCCAACATATGGTTGTGTGATGACAACTACCTCTATAGCATCATCATACCCATCAACATTAGATTTAAGGGATGCATCTCAAGGTGGGGATATAGAAATAAAGAATAAATTAAATTTTAAGTATCTAAATCATATTATTTCATTTATATCAAAATAATGGGATTGATTTCAGATTTAACGACGGCCTCTTACCTAGAAGTCAGTGATTCATCTTATCTAAGAAGTGCAACAACATCAATCCTTTATACAAATCCAGGTCTCTCGGTATCTCAACCGAATTATTACTCGGTTATTGTTATTGTCACCGTGTCTGTTGTGGTTGTATTACTTATAACAATTTTGTTTGCCATTTTGTTTCGGAAAATCATCATGCTACAAAACAGAAATAACATGATATCGCAAGAGGTTGTTGCATTAAAAATGACATCAGTAAATGATAATAATGTTTACGATCAGTTTAGGGAAGATATATCGGCATCAGAAAACTCAGAACAGAAAAGTAATGTCTACGATGTAATTGACGAAAATAAAACATCACAAAACAATATTGACAATTATTTGGACCTAAAAAGACATCAAGGGACCAATTGTTATCACTTTATGCAGGTTTCATCTCCAGACATACAATTTGCGACGGAGGATGAATCAGAATATTTGGATCCAGTTTCGGATGCTGGAGTTAGCAATGCATATATTGACGTTATCGCTTAGGTTGTCTGTTCAGTAATATAATCAGTATAGCTTGGTTGTTATGTACTGGACATCTATGTCGTGGAGTGATCAATTTCGGTCAATGACAATTTTATGACTTTACTGAATAAATAAAATTTTAACAAGATTGCATATATATGTGTTATTTTTATTTTTGTCTCGTTGCTATGGAGATAATTCATTACACAACTTTCAATAATGTGAAAAGAAGCCTGAGTTTAATTTCACTATTTTGAAATGTGTTTCTTTACCTCGGAGATTACCATTTAATGTGTTTCACAGAAAAGTTTAACTTTTTCTCTCTATTTTTGTCTTTTAGAACCTTTATACATTGTATTTATTGCTAAGCCATGGATACAATTTTCAAAAGGCCCTTGGTTTTGGTTCTAAATGAAAAAGTCATTTTCTTTTATGCGAATGAAACAGAAAATCATAGTGGATTGAAATGCCTTTGAAATAGACCAATCGAATCATATTTGACCAATCAGCGCTTGATATTATAACCAATCAGAGTTCCAGAATCATCAACCAATCATTAAGAATTAGAATAAGGTATAAATAGGGACGCTCAAAATGATTTCGGTTACTTGGTCGTTACTCATCGTTTGAGTAGCACCTCCTGGACTAGATTCTTGGGCTGTGTCGGGAAACAACAAAATTGTTCGTTAGACCACTCAGGTCAGGAACCTAGTTCCTTAATAGTGTGTCTCAGTGACTATAGTGTCTTGGTGATTTTTAATAAAGGTGACTCGGTGACTTTTGGGGCGTGTTTTTAGGTAGTTGCAGACTGTGTCGGGAAACAACAGAATTGTTGGTTAAACCACTCAGTCTGCAACTACAGTGATATAACTTTATATTTGATACTTGATAATTAGTGATTCTTTTGTTATTGTTCGTTTTATAGTTAGTTTTCTAATCATTATCCAGATAGGACCTAGGAAAAATATATATAGTGAATTAAAGTCAGTTGTTTGCCATTGTTGTTGAGGGTTGTGTAATTCGATATAAACGTGATTCTTAGGAAGGAATCCTAAGCGAACCTAATTATTAATCATTTGTACTTAGTAAACACGTTACAAATTTGGTGGCAGCGGTTTTAGGAATATTACGTTTATATATTTTGTATCATTTGTTGATCTATTATTTGTTTTCATTTTGTGGGCATATTGTAAAACATGGCTGACAAGGACATTACCGACATTGACAAAGAACTAACATATATTGAGCAAAAGTTGCAAGAGTTGAAAAATGACAGTTTAAGCATTTACAATGCTAGTTTAGCCAAGGATACAAGTGATAATAAAACAAGTACCCCAGATGTTCGATCAGATACGAAATCAAAAGATTCAGGTTTTGCATCAGACAGATTTTCAGATATAAACTTTCACGGTGATGTTAAACCGAAAGAGCATCCCATAGAAAAGGTTTCATGGGAAGATGAAATTTTGTTTGGGACAAATAGTGTTCCTTCTGATGATGGCAAAAGACTTGGGTATTTAATGTCAACACCAGTCTCTGGAAGTGCAAACATTACTAATCGCCGAAAGGATCGTCGCTTTAGTAGACAGGATACAAAGACCGATATCATAACGGCAACAGAGAAGAAACAACAGACCCATATAAAACCTGCAACATTTGATGCTACGGGATCCTGGTTAGATTATCGTTCCCATTTTGATGCATGTGCCATGTTGAACAAGTGGAAGTAACTAGAGAAAGGCTTATATTTAGCAGTTTCCTTAAGAGGACAGGCTCAAGGTGTACTTGGGAATTTGCCTAACACACACAAGCATGACTATGTCTAACTTTTGAATGCATTAGAGTAGAGATTTGCACCTTCGAATCAAAATGACTTGTATAGGACGCAACTGCGAGAACGCCGACAACGAGCAACTGAAACTTTACCAGAACTGGGACAATCCATAAGAAGACTCACAAGCTTCGCATACCCAACGGCGCCAAGAGATGTACAAGAAACGCTGGCAAAAGAACAGTTTATCGATGCTCTCCTAGATGCTGACATGAGATTGAGAATCAAACAAGCAAGGCCAATAAATCTCAATGATGCTATTCGACATGCTGTCGAATTGGAAGCATTTGTTAAATCTGATCGTAAAATGTTAGAAAAACAAACCCACTTACGAACAATGCAGTCAGAGAAAACTGAGGGAAACAAGAAAGACAGATCAGATCAGATTAGCACAAGTATATTGGTAGAGCTGAAGGATGAAATAAGAAGACTTCGTAAAGAAGTTAATGACATGAAAGCGAAGAATTCCCAGGATATTGTATACAAAAAGAAAGCTATCAGCAATAGACGCTGCTATTTGTGTGGATCTCCAAATCATTTCCGATATGACTGTCCACAAGGTAATAGAAAAACCCCACAAAACGCATCATCACAAAAGAAATACTCATATAGTACAAAGAAACATCCTGTACAAAACACATTCAAATGCATCACGTCTTACAAAGCTCAAGTTGGTGTAAACCAGAATGACCCTGAGGCTGGAATGTACGTGAAAGCTACCATACAGGAAATCGAAGCGAATTTTCTCGTTGATACGGGAGCAACACTATCAGTATTGTCCAGTAAGGTTTACGAGGCTATACAAAATAAACCAGTTTTGTATAAAACTGATCAAATAATCTCTTCCGCATGTGGGACCGACTTAACTGTGAAAGAAGAAAAATAGCATCTGCATTAATCTGGGTGAGCGTTTTTATAGTCAAGATGTCATCGTGGCGGAATTTTCTCTTGATGGAGTCATTAGACTTGACTTTATGAAGAAATACAGTTGTACTATAGACATAGTTAATGGGTATTTGAAGGTAAATGACAAAGTTTACAAAGTTGATTTCTTTGGCAAAATCGGTTGCTTTAGAATTAACTCGAAAGAGACGATTGTTCTTCCTGCCAGAAGTGAGATAGTGACTTATTGTAAGGTCTCAATGCCGTCAAAATCCTACGACACGAAAGAAGTTTTAGGTATGATAGAACCATAGGAAAAGTTCCTCAAATCAGGAAAAACATCAATAGCAAGATCAGTTGGATATGTAAATGATGGAGAGATACCAGTCTGAATGATGAATCTATCCCATGAACATCAAACAGTGCATCCAGGAACATTTATTGAAAATATGAGTTCAGTTGACAATGTTTTTGAACCAACTTCTACTATAAATAAGCCATTCAAAGATCTGCCATCTCATCTGCAGGATCTGTTTGAGAGATCTAAAGTTAATCTAAATGGTGGTGAAATACCTAAATTACAGAAGTTTTTGGCTAGGTATGCAGATATATTTGCGAGGTCAGACAGAGACTTGGGACGTACTTCAATGGTTAAACACACGATTGATACCAAGGATGCACGCCCACTAAAAGAACCTCCAAGAAGAATTCCACATCATTTACAGGACGAGATGAACAATCAATTAGATGACATGCTAGACAGGAATGTCATTGAGAAATCGAATAGCCCATGGGCATCAGGAGTCGTTTTAGCCAAAAAGAAAGATGGTTCTTTGCGATTTTGTGTGGATTACAGGCGTTTACATGCAGTTACAGTCAAAGACGCCTACCCACTTCCACGCATCGACGACTCGTTAGACAGTCTTGCCGGAGCAAAGTGGTTCTCAACCCTTGACTTGTGCTCCGGGTATTGGCAAGTTAGCATGGATGACTCAGATAAACTAAAAACGGCATTTGCAACTAAACGTGGTTTATACCATTTTAAATGTTATGCCGTTTGGCCTTTGCAATGCCCCGGCAACCTTCGAAAGGCTAATGGAAACTGTTCCTAGTGGCTTGCAATGGCAAATATGTTTGGTATACCTAGATGACATCGCAGTACAGTTAAGGTGCGCAATGGAAATATCGACTAAATATTGTATTTAAAAATGTATTCGTAATTGGGATGGCAATTATTTTAGTACATGATTTATATCGGATAATTGTAATTATGATTAATAACTACATATCAAGGACGATTATATTTTATATTTAGACTAGTCAGTCTAAATCGGCAGTCACGCGATTTTAGCACATTGACTTGAAGTATTGATGTTACATATAAATATCACTAGTGCAAGGGCATAACCAAGTTAAATTTCCAAGTTTAGTATATAAATATCTTCAACACGCATTTTAGTTTCTAAAAAGTGCTGCAATCCTGTCTAAATTCTGCAATTTCATTGTTAAAATTATACTTGTATGACCGAATGCTATATTTTTGCTGGTCAGCGGCATGAAATATTGATATAATTAAATTGTTTTTAAGATTTCATCAGGATCGCAGCACTTTTCAGATACCTTAATAGTTCTATAGTTGAAATGTAAAAGCTTACTTTGATCCATAGAGTGTATGCCCTTGCGCTAGATCGATTTCTTAAGACCCCCCACATTACCCTCCAATGTACTTAAATACAAATATACAGCAGTGTCAAATAAATACGTAGTGTACAGAAAATATATTTATAAAATAGTGAAGAATATATTAAATTCAAGTTATTGGCCCATAGAATATATGTAAACAATATTTTATTTAATTAGAGAATACATTTTTGGTTGAGAAAAATATTACTTGATCTGTCTCTCACTGCATACAAACTACGTCATGTTGTAAGAAATGACGTCATATTGACAAGTGTATTGCGATCAGTGACTTGTTTATAACTTGTTATGTAGGATTTAACTAATGACAAAACAACACGCTGTAGTAAGTTTTTATGTAGTTTGATGATTTCTTACTGGTTAAATTAGCAGATAGACTCATTTTGTGGTATTTTAAAGAAATGTTGTATGACGTATATTGTGTATGATGTCATAGTCAAGTTTTCCCGTACAAATTAGGCTCCGCCTCCTTTTTGTAACCTTAACTGTGCTGCGATCATTGTTATCGGAACATCGTTTACCAACATGTTAGAAAACCTCACACAGGTATTTGATAGACTGTCATCTGCTAACCTGAAACTGAAAGCAAGAAAGTGTCACTTGTTAAATAAAACTGTTGAATTTCTCGGACATGTGGTATCAGAGGAAGGAGTAAGCACAGATCCTTCAAAAATTTCAGCAGTA